CCCTTGGAATCTTGGATTCTTTCTGCAGTAAGCTCAAACATAGCAAATCCCTACATCAAAGGAGTAATCAAAGAAGGAAGAAGGAATCATTTTTCCATATGTTTTTACTTATCTATCGTATGAAAATATGATTCCTAAAGGGTATCTATTTATAGCTTAGGAAACCCCTTTTCTATCTGTTTTTATTTCGATGGCACCATGATTTTAGCAAATTATGCAAATGTGTTTGCACTTATTTGAGACAACATTTTTGTTACTCATATTCGGCGGGGGAGGGGGTGGGGTTTCGCTTTCCACTCCACTCCCTCTGCGCTGTTCCCTTGCCCTCTTCCTTCGTGCTGCATCTGCTGCCAATATTGACAAGATTTTTATTTAAATTTCGCTGCCAATTTCTTGGCTGTGGAGTTTCCGGCAATGTCATTGGGCTTTCCACTCCTCACTGCTCTGCCCGCTCTCCGCTCGCCGCCCAGCCATATCCTGTGCTCTGGCTCTGTGTGCATATTTTTGCCAAATCAGCAAATGTTGCCGTTGTCAAGTGAAGTTCTGGCGCTGGCTCCTGCCATGTCTCCATGTCTCCATTCGCAGATTCCATTTTTTTTTTCCATCTTCAGAAGTGAACGAAGGAGCACAGGGTGGAGAGGGGAGTAGAGTAGAGGAGTGGAGCAGTGGTGCCTGCCAGAGCAAATGCCACTAATATGAAAGCAAATTTGCATAATAATTTTTACCAGATTTTGTGCCAGAGACCATCCTCCTCTACTCTTCTCCCCTCTCCACGCCATACCGCCGCTTTCGTTTCGTTTCTTTAAATGTATCTTTAAAATAGACTTTAAAACGGGGGCGGGCGGGATTCCCTAATAATAAATCCCATTTTTTTTTTTGCGCTTTGTGGTCAATTTTCTTTTGGCCTTTGCCGCTGCTTTGCAAACCAATTGAATTTAATGACATTTAATGAGAAAATTAATTAAAGCAATTTAATTTATAGCCACATCCACATTCAGCCATAGAATGGCATATTTTTTATAGCCCCAAGTGACAATTTCTATCTCTATCGCTATCTCTGTCTATCTCTGTTGCACTACTGTATTGTGGTTGCGCTCAAAGGAAACCGCGGATAAATATTCCATGACATTTGTCACACAAAAAACGAGCTTCCCTTTTTTTTTTAATCATTTTTCGACTTTGTGTAAATAAAATATTAATAATTGAATTTATGCCTCAATGATTTGTGATTTGAGAACAGATCGGAATGCTGTAATTTGCTATATGGATAATCATGGACCTACGATATAATTCCAGGAAGGCTCTTCAAGCTCAGGCTCACAGGCTACATCATTTCTCACATTTTCCTCATCATTTTGGTCAATATTCAAAGGAAATTAGCTGTCTACTTCCTGTTGCCCATCACAAAGCACAAATTAATAAAGGTCCTCCAGGCAACACTTAAAGGACCCTCAAATCGAATGTAATACATGTCACATCCATCGAAGGATCGATCCGGCAGTTCATTTATTCACACACCTCACACACAGAGCCATAGTTCTGGACCTCCCTCCAGCTGGGCCATAAAAATAATTGGCCATAAATGCGCTAAAAGTCAAAACAAAATGCCAATTGTTGGCAGAGTTGGCTGAGTGGTGGCAGTGGGAGCAGGGGGGCGGCTAAGAATAAGAAATGGAATAAGGAATCAACACATTGCTTTTAATTAATGGCGTGGCTCCTTAGGAGCCACTCGGCAGCTACCGTTGGGTGTTTTTATGACCTTTGGCCTGCCATCCGGACTCCAGCTGCCATCTGTGAGTGGCATCAAATGTTTGCGCGTGTGTGAGTGTGTGTGGCAAGGTGGAAACACTGTCGCTTGTCGCTTGCCTCAAGTGCGTTCGGTTATAATTTTATGTGCAATTAATTTGCCACAGCAGAGCAGACACGCACACATGCAGCAACAGACACACCCAAAGAGGGTGCAAAAATAGGGTGCACTTTTTGATCCAACCAATAAGTGGCAAGCATTCGCTGCCGCCACTTGTGTGTGGCAGATACTGAAAAGCAGCACTCCCAACCGTACGCCGTGCTGTGGCAATTAATGTCGATGGCCTTTTTTATAGTTACGTGGAGGATGGAAATCATCGAATTTTATGGTCTGTCTAACTGCCTTTGCGTTGACTTTCATTGAAGATCGTCGCTGCTGTCGCTTAATGGTGCTTTCCCCCAAAAAAAGCAAGGAAGAAAGTTCTTTCTTGAGTGCCTAAGCCTACCACATTGATCCTGTCATTGATTGCTGCTCCTCTTATGCCTCTTTGAATTCTAAAAATTGTTATGCTCTGAGGTTTAGTTGCCGCTTAAAGTCCGAAGGTCAAACGGGCCCATTCGTTTTATTTCTGAATAATATTTGAACAAACTTTAAATGCCGAACAGAACTTCTGCGAGTCTGCCACCTTCCAAACTCATTCGCTTATGATTTTACCCTTTCCCTTAGGGCCCAAACTGTTCCTAAAAGCAGAAGGCACACACACAAATGTGCATACAAAGCCCATCCCATAAAACGCCCACAAAATAAATGCCAACATCAGCAGGAAATCATGCAGGAGGATAATGGTTCACAAAATGGGGCATTTTCCGATTGATTTTTGCTGTTTTGGTGGGAGTTGGGGCTGCTGGTTGGCGGGGGTGGAGGGGTTGCACAATTTACGTTTGGGCCTTGGTGGGGAAAATCTCTAATTAGCTAATTGCTATAATTAAATGTTTTGCTAATGTTGGCATTTCGTTTAACGAGAGACGCAAGGATAATGTAAATATTCTGAGGGCTGCTCCGCCCTGCAGAGTGCCAGTGGCAGTGGCAGTGGCAGAGAGTATGTGTGTGTGTGTGTGTGTGTGTGGCCTGCGTTCTCCATCATTGGAGCATTGTTATTATTGCGTTGGTCCTGCGTACTCCCCACTGTGCTCTGCTTAATGGCAAATCGAACATATTTGCATATGAAATGAGCGAAAAATCGAAACATGGCGGCAGCCAGAGCCAGAGCCAGGACCCACAGCCAGGGTTCCCGCACACACAGAGAAAATGGTTACCCGGGCGATTTCCGGCACAGACAACATGACATTTTAAGCGACTCTTTTGGCTTTCGTGTGGATGTGGCACCAGCAGACACCCCCCCCCCACACACACACTGTCTGACTTGGCTTATTATTATGCAAAATCGATGGACAGGGAGCCAGGAAAAACCATTTATTATCATTATAAATTATGCATTGCATTATCACTGGGATCGCTGGCGCAACTTCACGACTTAGCAAAGTCCACGCAAAAGTCCATGCCACAGCGCAACGAATGTTCTAACGGGTGGGCCACCGCTGCGTATGAACGATGTAATTGAGTTGAGGAACTGCTGGCCGCCGTCTGTTGCCGTCTGCCAATGGATTTTAATAACTCTGTTTTTTCGACTGTTTTCCCAACGCTCTCGCTCCCACGCGAAATGCAAATTAGACGAAAACTGAATTTAAATAAGTCACAGATACAGATACACAGATACAAACACCGCCGCACAGCCCGCACAGCCTGCACAGCGGGTGGGGGTGTAAACTCAGTGACGAGGGACTGCCACTGTCCCGCCAAAAAGGGTACGAAAAGTTTTCAAACGCTGAAAATTAATACTTGTACAGTCCGCGACAGTCCGGGGCACAAAATCTTTTAAAATTTAAATTAAAATGGAATCCAAAGGCAGGGCTTTAATTACCGATGGTGTGGATACGGATACCCTCAAATGATGCCTTTAATATGGATTTATGAGTTTTAATTCTGGGAAATTTTTATATTGGGAATTTAATTCGTTTTATACAGAAAATACAGACGATTATTTGGCCTTAAACGAAAGAATCGAATATTTTTTTTATTCGTTTATTGGCTCTGCAGTCAGCTCTGCAATAGTAATGCCCTTTTTGGGAAGGGTATGCACAACACTCTATTGAACAATGTCCGCTGCCCACTCAACATAAACCATCTCCCAGAAGAGGAACCCAAAATTAATGTCAACTTCAAACAGCAACCCCTCTCTCTCTCTCTCTTTCTCTGCCTCTGCCTCTCTCTATCTGTTTCCCTTATCTCTTGCTCTCTCTCTCCCTCCTGCATTGTAATATTTTTGGAGGGCCCAGCTCGGAAATAATGAAAAGGCAAACGAATTTTAAGTGCAGGCCAAAAATAACACAAATAAATGCCATCGCCATAGCCATAGCCGTAGCCATAGCCGTACCGGAGCTGAAAGGACAGGAAAGGAAATTGTTAAGAGCAAAGACTCGGAAAATAAGCCAAAGCCAAAGGACATAGCTCAAAAAATGGCGCAAAAGTAAAGCCCAAACAAAAAAAAATGAGAAGGAAAAGCCGAAAGTAAAAAAAAAAAAGGAAAGAATCTTGGGGGCCAGAAACAATCCGCGCGCCTTGAAAGCCAAAAGAAATTAGCATAGAAAAAGGATTTGCTCGCTAATTTCACTTTAATGTAAAGATGCGGCCAAAGACGCTAACAGGACGAGGGACGAAGGGCAGAAGGACGCAGGACGTAGGACGATGAAGACGTCGCGCCCATTACGTCACTTTTATCTCTAGCTCTGTCTGCGTCTATGTCCGCTCTCCCTCTCTCTCTCTCTCTTCTTTCTTCTTGCTGTCTCTGTCTCTCGTGTCCTTCCAGGCTCTTTTTTCTCTGTTATTTATAGCATTATTAGTGGGTCCAAAGCTGCAGATCGTTTGGTTTGGTTTGGGTTGGGTGGGGGAGTAAAACAAAGTGCTAATGCCCTCGGCTAATTATACATCATTTGTTACGCGCCGAGTGCGCCGTCGCCGCTTCTTCCGCTTCCGGTTTATACATTTTTTTTTTTTCTTTTTTTTTTTTGCTGGTGTATTTTGTGCTTTTGTGTCACAAAGCGGCAGGCGGCAGGCGGCATCCATTCCATCATTGCCTCAACATTTTTCCCATCGTTTCATTGTGTGTTTCTGTGTGTTTTTCTGTGTCTTGCAGGTCCGCCCGTGCTCTCCGAGTCCATAATGGGCACTGTCGGCCGACTGCCCTGCAACGTGACGCCGCCCATTTACGAGGATCGTGTGGCATTGGTTATCTGGTACAAGGTGGGCCTGAAGACGCCCATTTACAGGTGAGTCAAAGGAGGGTTTAAGTTCCCTTTTGAAAGCGCCCTCAAGCGCCATTCAATCTTTAAGCTTTTGTGTCAACTGCAGGCAGCAGCTTCCCCTGCCCCCTGCCACCCTACAACCTTTGACCGCAAAAACATTTCAACACAGATACGCAACAAACACACACACACACATAGGGAGTGAAAGACACACAGAGACAGACTGAGGGAGGGGGGTTCATAAATAAACAAAATTGATTACCACAGACAACTTTTGACGCACTCAACCCGCTGGCCACTCAAACCAACAAAACAAACACAGACACACACACACCCAGATAGACAGAGATACGAGAGCAGACAGAACACACACACACACACACACACAGATGCAGATAAGTACAGCAGACAGACACACACAAAATACACAGCAGATGAGGCAGAAAATGCCAACATTAAAGGAGAAGAGGGAGAGGGAGAGAGGGAGAGACATACCGGACCTGCACATGTCAGGATTTTTCGTTTTCGTTTACATTTTCATTTAGATTTTGATTTAATGTCTGCTAATTAAGGCATACGGTTGTTTCCCCCCTATCCCCGCATGTTGGCCATCGTCTGGCATGGAAATTAGCATAACTAGAAAATTAAACAGGGTTCCCAGAGAGGCTGCCCCACTCCGACACACCGACAAATTGGTGAAAGTTTTCCTTGGGAAACAGGCTCTTTGGTGGGGGGGGGGGGGCTGTTGGGTGTTGGGGGGAGACATAGCTCCAAGGTTACATTTGGTAGCACAAAAACTTTTTCAATTATTCATGTCTGACATTATGCTCTGGCTGCTACTTCTTCTTCCTCTGCAAGTATCTCACAGATACAGATACAGATACGTTCTAGTTCTAGTTCCATTTCCATTGCCAGTTACAGAGCACATCAAAGGCGTGAAACTTTAATTGGATTTGTCCGCCATCACGAGAAGGGGGGCATGGGGCATGGCAATGGCACCAAGGGGCATGTGTGTGTGTGTGTGTGTGTGTGTAGGGCGCTGATTAGCTGATTGCCAGGCGGCGGCTAAAACTAATTGAACTTTCGGTCAGAGCAGAGCAGCGTTGGGCACCGCACCGCATCGCTCTTCAAGGACAACATTTCCAAGGCAAATGACTAGAGCAAAAATCCTCCGCTCACAGTAATTAGCGTTGCACAACGACGACGACGGGCCAATGCTTGTTGGTAATTAAAAACCACTCAGCAAGTAAATTAATCATAAAAGAAACTCCAGCAAAAGCCATCGCCATCGCCATCGCAATCGCCATCGTTGCTCAGCTCAGCTCAGCTCAGCCCCTGCCCTCCGGCCACATTCTCGGCCGACAGCTCTTTTACTTGGTGAGAATTTAATTTTCAGCTCTCGCTGCTGCCATTCCGTCAATGCCATTGACTTTTTATTGCCACAGCGTCCGGACAGGCGCTGGCCAGAACCTCATTGTGAGCCACTGGACCACTACCAGTGCCGCGCCAAGCGCTACCCTGCGCGTATCCACTTGCACTCTTTCCAGTCCAAGGATCAAGCATAGAATCAAGAGCCATCCCCGCCATATGTTCATGAACAAATCAAAATTGAAAAGCAATAAAACACAGACACAGCAATCGGAAAAGCTCTCAGCTGTCAGAGAAAAGAGAGGTGGAAAAAGGATAGAGCCAGCCATGGAGAATGGCAGGAGAGAAAGAAGAGACTGCCGCACATATATGTCTGTACAGATATGGAAGGAACTGCAGTTAAGATCTACTCATGTGCAAAAGCGTATTTTTGTGGCATTCTTAGGGGCTCTCCCACCTTTGTTTGAGCAGAAGAAAATGCTGAAATATTGATTTAAGCTGCTTCCGTTTCAATGATTAATTCACAATTTGCGAGTGTGCAAAATATAAATTTGAAAGCACTCAAACTTCAAACTGGAGGCTAAAATTACTCTCGATTAAAATTACTTTGCGCAACGATTTAAGCAATGAATATTACAGCATTTGCTGCATAATTAACTGCGACGAGTAGACTGTGGAGAGCGGGTGCGAGGGAGAACCCAAATAAGTTGGCCACTTGGCCAAGCGTTGACCTAAATCCGGCCGTGGCAACCACCACCAGCCGCCTTCGAGAAACTTTTTTAAAAACCCAGAAACGCAGAAATAGCTATCCAAACTTTAAGTCCATTGATTGACCACCAAAATGAGCTCATTACACCGAAATATCGATGGAAAGTAAATCAATAATCGGAAAGGAAAACATTCAAGCAAAAAAAAAAAACAAATAAATTACACTAGAGGCGGGCGGTAGGGGCTGGGTTTATTAATTCATTGCAGAACACAATTACGAGGGGCGAAAAAAAAAAAAAAACTTTCATCAGGCCTCACCTTTTGTTTTCATTGGGGAAATTCCATTTAAAGTCTTCTCCCTCCCTATCTCCCTCCCGCTGACGCTTTTTCCGTTCATTTTCATCTCTCTGTCTTCTTTTTGCAGTGTGGATACGCGGGACTCGAACTTTGCCCAGGGCACCCATTGGTCAGACGAAACGTATCGGGAGCGGCTGTCCTTTCACGTGGAAGGACGTGCCGGCACGCTGAGCATCAAGTCAACATCGGAGGACGATACGGGCGAGTACCGGTGCCGCGTGGACTTCCAGAAGAGTCCGACGCGTAACTCCAAAGTGAATTTAACAGTCATAAGTAAGTGCCATATTGAGATGCCACTCACTAGCGTGTGGCACGAGGCAGCCAAAGGGGGGCAGCAGCATAATTGAGCAGCTAATTTGTGCAGCGACATATCCTGTGTCTTGTTCGGGTCTGGATCTGGGTCTGCGTCGGAATCTGAGTCTGGGCATGGACATGGCCATGGCCCTTGGGCAACCGCAGCCACCACTCAGCTCTTGGACAAACACATTAGTTACAGCACAAGACGCCAACTGTATGTTCGGGCTGCCAACTTTTGCGCCATACCCCCAAACCCCCCCTGGTGGATGGGCGCTCTGCTCTGCAAACAGCTTTTAAAGTGCAAACTTGGCCAAAAGTTGCAGCTTGTGGAGAGTTAAAGCCTGCCCCAAAGACAGCGCAGAGCAGGGCAAAGATGGAACAAGTTTCGAATTGAATTTTTTTTTTGTTTTCTTGCCATTTTTTGCCATTTAAATGGATTTTTCCCTATTTTTTGGAGCTCTCGTTCCAATGCAACTCCAGAAATTGATTCGATGGCAGACAAAAAAAAAAAAGAGAAAAGAAATTGAGAGCAAAGAATCTTCAGACCTTCGCTGTTTTCTAATCCCTTTTTGTGGCCATGCCACACATATGAGAATGAGCATCCCCTCATCCTTCGCACATCCTTCCAAGTGCAATTTCATGCTTCTTCCTTTCCAGAAGCAATTTCCAGGGTATCCCAAAGTTGTACAGCTCTCCCCGATGCTAAGAGCGAATATAGAGGAATATATATATATATATCACCAAAAGGGGAATAATCATTTCACAGAAATATATTATTTCACCCAAAAGAATCGAACGATCGAGAAACTAACTCTTTGTGGCTATAACTTTTGTATTTCTAGCTGAAAAAATTCAGTTCCATGCAAGGGCATCCAATGCTTCGATAGTCTTTCCCCTCTCTCTCTCTTGCTCTCCTCTGGATAATCCCTTTCTATAAGGAGCCTTCTCCAATTGCAATTTCATTCCTTGGGTTTTTCTACGGGCATGCGGCAGGCCCTTCCCTTTTTCTTTTCCAGTTGCCACCTGTGCACTGAGGCGATGGCGCTGGCTGTGGCTAGCAATTTACCATTAAAATTTATATGCGTTTTCCAAAGGCGTTTAGCCGTTGAGATATATGGCCAAGAGAGAGAGCGAGTGCAGAAGAGTGGTTAGTAGTGGGAGGGAGGGACACGAATTGGTCGAATATTGTTTTGGTAAATAGTTGCTGTCTGCCGTCTGCTGCTGCTGCTGCTGTTGCCAGATGAAGCGTAAGATGGGGTGGGGCAGGCAGGGCGTGGCGGCTGTGTTTTTACCAACTTCTTGAGCATGTTCAACATGCAACCAAGGGGCATGTGTGTGGCTGGCTGGCTGTGACATGTGAAGCGTAAAACCAACGCAGGATTTACAGAACTTTGTATGGGGGAAAAAAAAACTTTAAAGAAGATATTAGATTAAAAGTTGCCACCACCCCACACCCCCTGCGGGCATTTCGAAAAGTTTTTCGGAGGCAACAACTTGCTGCTGCTAATGCAAGCGGCGGGGAGGGGGAAGCGGGTCGCACCCAGCAAATATGCCAGCAAAATGGGGGATAATGGGAGGGGATAATGGGAGAGGGGTTTGAGCCAAGTGGATAAACGGACTGAAGCGGCAGTCAAAATAATGCCAAGTGGCAGGAATAAAGCAAGCAAATTTGCTGCACGAAAATTAAAAGTTTTGATCCAACATGGAAAATGTTGACGGAAATTGACGGCCTCGTCTTACTGCCCAAAGGGCGGGGCGGGGCGGGGTGGGGCGGCAGCTGCAGCTGCAGTCAGGTGGGGCAAACATTGTGTGCACTTTCGTGCTGAAACTGCGCTTTAATGGGGCAGAGAAAAAATGCTTGGGCCTTGTCACTAATTCCCTTACCATTTTCACTCATTTTTCATCCGACAGTTCCGCCCGAATCCGTCATCATTTTGGACAGCAAGGGGGCCACCATCAAGGACCATACACTGGGGCCCTACAACGAGGGATCCGCCATCAACATCACGTGCGTGGCCATCGGCGGTAAGTCCTTTTTCAGCAAGCAGCAGGAGCAACAGCAGCAGGAGCCACGTGTCGTCGTCGTCGTCTGTCTCTGTTTCTGTTTCTCTGTCTCTTTCTCTCTCACTCTCTCTCTCTCTCTCTGTGTCTCTGTGGGGAAAAGTGTTGACGCTGTGACGCGCTCCTTGTGTCTGACAATTAAAAGTGATGAGAGTGCGCGGGCGAGTGCGAGTGCTGCAGGCGAAAGATTTTCACATTTTCACATTTTATTTAATTTCCACACGGCTAGCTGTCTGCTGCATGCCACATGGATACCCATCGAGACAGACAAACAGACAGGGAGTGAGAGAGAGACCGAAAGAGAGGGAGAGACAGAGGTAGAGGAAGAGGCAGACACAATGGCCCCACAAATTGCATTGAGAGCACTTGAAAATTGCTAAAAGCCAAACAAGACAACAAATGAAACAGCGAAAGGCACTTGGTACACACACACACACACACAGACAAGCACAATCATTCCACCCACTAAAGCACACACACACACACACACACATCCACTTCTTGCAGTTGCTGAACAAACAGCAGAAAACGTAGAGGCATCCTCTCCTCTGCCCTACCCAAAATGCTGAAACGCCAAGGAAAAGGACTCGCAAGTAGTCCAAGCCGTATAACAAACATATCAGTTGCAAGCACACACCATGCCACCCTGCCACACCACACAATCCCCCCCCCCACACCATCTTACCACACAGCCACACACACACTCGATAATTCTTTCTCTTGTTCGTTGCTCGTCCGTCCTGCAGGTCGGCCACAGCCAAGGGTTACCTGGCTGCACGGGAATACCATCTACAAGAACGCCAGCGTGGGGCACTCCCTCTCGGAGCGGAGGGTGGGCAATGTGCTATCCCTGGCGCGCCTGGAGCGCAGGAATCTCCACATGAAGCTTACGTGTCGGGCGGAGAACAATAATTTGACAACGCCAATTATCAGCAGCGTCGACCTCGACATGAACTGTGAGTGTGCCCAGTGCCACAGCCAGTGCCAGTGCCAGTGCCAGCCACTCTCTCTAATCCTCTGTTTAACTCTCCCCTGTGTGTTATCTTTCAGTGCGTCCTTTGATTGTTAAGCTGCAGGGCGAGAACCGGCCCCTGTCGGCGGGAAATTCTTATCAACTGAGTTGCGTTGTCATCGGGGCACGTCCAGCGCCGACGGTTACCTGGTGGAAGGGCAGCAGCCCCATGAAGAACACCCACGAGATTGTAAGTGAACAGGGAACACCCCTTGCTAACCTTCTAGATACCCTTTAAAGAGTTGCTTGAATTTCCCTCCTGAATGGAATGGAGCATTGATTCCCATGCCAAATATTCATTGAAATTCAGGCTAAACTATTATTCATTCTCACGCAGTTCCCTGTGTCTGTCATACCCTGTGTCTGTCATACCCTGTGCTGTGCTTTGCTACCCTCTGTGTAATGTTTATAAACATGCAAATTTGAAATGCCTGTCAGCCTGTCCCTCTGTTAATGGCAGCCCAGCCCAGCCCCCCCGTAGATTGGTGCACATGCTTTTGCGGTAATTGAAGCTGAAGGAGAAGAAGCTGAGGCCGAAACGGCAGTCACGTACCAGTCACGGGACTCCAATTAAAAGCAGCCCCCCAATCTTTGCCGATGAAACGTGCCTGAAAGCGTTCCGCTTCGTTCCGTTTCGACAACCCTTTCTTTGACTTCTATACCCGTATATTGCTTTGTCTTGACTGCTTTTAATGCTGGCTTCTGTTTCACAATTCACAGACGAATCCGGATGGAAATATGACCACCTCCGTGCTAACATTCACGCCCACCATCGATGATCGCGGCAAGTTCCTGTCCTGCCGCGCCGAACAGAGCATGATACCCGAATCGGGCCTCGAGGATGGCTGGAAATTGGACATTTATCGTGAGTTTTGCGTTTTACTCTTCCTGTTTTCCTAAATATTTAATGTTTTTCCCCGACGCGACGCGACGCAACTTTTTAATGAAAACGAAAGGCACAAAGGCGGGGGCCTTTAAAAGGGAGAAACCTGTACCGAAAAAAAAACCAACTGGCCCAGTCTTTCTATAGGTTTTACTTCGATAGGTTTTCCCTACCCCACCTACCTCCCGCTGCCGCTGCTGCTGCTGCTGCAAGTTTTGGCAAATTAATTTCCAGCGGCGGCGAAACTTTTGCACAAAACTTGCGAAACTTTTTAACCCGCCACAGGCACCGCAAGCGGCAGCCCGGCGCACCGCAAGCAGCGGCAGCGGCCATAGCCAGAGTCATCTTAACGCTTTTACAGTTTTCCGACCTGTTTGCACGAAATTTAAATGGCCAAAAGCCCCAGCGGGGTGGGGTGGGGTGGGGTGCAGATGGCTGAACCGCTTCCTGTTTGCCCTGAATGTGCGGTTTTTGTTGCTTACCTTTTTACTTTTCTGCCTGGCACCACCAGCACCACCCTCTGGCCTTGTTTCGATTGAAATATCTGACCCCCTAAAGGGGCATGCAGCCAGCCATTGAGTGGGGAATGGGAGCAATTGGGATTGGGCATTGAGGACTGGGGCTTGGGTTGTTTTCACAATTTGATAGATTGCTTAATAAGCTTAATTGATTCGCATTCGCGCTACAATTCTGAATTAATCAAGTTAAAATTTTACTCCCAGCAACTCTACCACACCAACCCAATCCACACACCACTCCACTCCCCCCAATCTGCTGAATTGGGACTTGGGAAAAACAAAAACATTTTTAAGGCCTAATTGCCAGCTAGGACAAAAGCACTGAAAAATACACAATATTAACCAGAGAGAGAGCAGATCCCTTTTGGTGGATTGACTGGCCACTGAAATACCTTGGAATTCCGCGGGGGTATGGTAAGGGAATTTTGGGGCAGCATCACAGTTGTCTGTGTCCGTATGCTTATGGGTATTTTCTGCATTTTATCCTACCTCTTTGCCTGTTACAAACCTCTCCCCGTGCACAATATACCCAACAAAAAACACCCCTCAATACCTCTGAAGTACAGACAAGCAACAACAGCAGACGGATGGCTAGCGAACGTAGCGTTGGGTTGGGCAAGGGGCATGGGGCATGGGGCATTTTCTACAACTTAAATGGCCGTCTAATTTGTGGGGCTTACACAATAATTACACACCTTTCGGCTGAGCTGGGCTGGTCTGGGCTGGGCCACTTTCGCGTGTCTGAGCACCCCGGCAAAGGCGATTCAGAGTAATTGGCTTTGAGGGCATCAGCTGCCATGGCATTCGCCTCTAACCTGCATTTCTTTTGGGCTTATCCTTTGGCTAACGCGAGATGATTTCTCTGTTCTCTACCCACGCACACACACACACACACACACACATAGATATTCCCGTTGTAAGCCTGGAGCTGGGCACCAACTCCCTGAATGCGACACTGCGCGAGGGCATCGATGTCTTCTTCGAGTGCAACATCAAATCGAATCCGTGGATCTACAAAGTCAGTTGGCGGCACAATGTAAGTTAAATATCCAATTCACCCAATAATATGGTATACTTAAGATATTTTTCCATCATTGATTACTGTTTTTTTAATACAAAAATGGCTGATTTCGTATATACCCAAAACTTGGCGTTTTTGATGGAATAAATCGAATGCAAAAACTTTCCTTCCTATTACCACTTTTCCTTTGCGTTCTTTCCCCGAGGGAAATATTTCGTTTCGTGTTTTATTTTTGCGGCTGCCTGGAACACCATATTATTATTATAATTTCCATTATATTTCGCTCATAAATTACCCGCTGCCGGGGGGCTTGAGGCTGGCTCTGTAATTGTTGCATATTTCAGGTGTGCCGCGAAAAATTGAATTCAAAAACGAAAATTGAATGCCACACACACACACATAAACACAGACACACACACATAGAGAATTTGTTACTGAATTATTCGCCTCGCCCCACGCACTTGGAAAATTTATGCAGCCGGATGCCTAATTTATTCCGGCTTCCTCAATCAGCCGCACGGCCACTGCCACTGCCACTGCCACTGCCAGGGGCATGCATCGTTCAACCGCTCAACGCATGGAGGGTGGGAGGGCATTGCTGATGCCACATACCACATGCCACATAAAAGTGTTATTAGCCTGAGAAATTAAATTTATTTCAATTCCCGGCAGTTATCCGTAAATTGAATTTCGATTTCAATTTGCGCTTTTCCCATTTATCGCCATCACAACCACCGACTAAATTTCCCTTCGTTTCTGCTTACGTTTATCCTTTCGCCCGCAGGGCGCAATCCTAGCCAACAATCCCGCCGAAGGCATTGCCGTGTCCAACCAGAGTCTGGTGCTGCAGAACGCCAGCCGTGCCCGCAGCGGCATCTACACCTGTGTGGGCAGCAACCGGGAGGGCGACGGCGAGAGCAATCCCGTCCAGCTGGATATCCGATGTGAGTATGCCCTGCCTGCCTGCCTGTCCCGAGGCAGCGAATTAATTAAAGGTGTCCCCCCCCACACCCACACAAAGTGTTTAATTTGCATAACATCTTAATCAAAGGGAATTACGATTTTTGCGAATGCAATTTGCAACAAACACGTTGCACAATGCAATTAAATCACAGTGCAGAAGAGTCCTATCCTCTCCTGTCCTGTCCTGTCCTGTCCTGTCCTTCTGACTTATCCCTCTATACTTGTATCTTTCTGCCTGTCAGGCAGTACAAATTGCTTCGGATGAATAAAATAAATCAATTAAATGGCAAACAAGTTGTTGCAACAATTCCCACAAGTATTTAATGGCATCATCCCAGAAGCAGAGGCAGCAGCAGCAGCAGCAGCAAAATCAACTTCTGCATCTCTCTCTCTCTCCCTTTTGCTGGCTGTGTGGCTGTGCCTTCAAATGTTTTGCTTTAATTATGCAAATGTCTTGCCAATTCAATTCCAATCTTGCGATTTGCCGTACCCTTTTTGTGTTGCAGTTGCACCTGTCTGCCGCAGCGGCCAGAGGACCACCTACAGCTCCGGGCGGCACGAGACGGTGAAGGTGGCCTGCGAGATCGATGCCAATCCCATGGAGGCCAGCTATGTGTGGAAGTTTAATGCCAGCCAGGGCGAGACCGTCGATATACCCGCCTCCCAGGTGGCCGTCGACAGGGGACGGAGCATCGCCCACTACACGCCCATGACGGAGAATGTAAGTGCAGCATTTCCCCCCACCGCCCATCTTTTAGGGGTCACATAAATCAGCCTGTCCCCTGCCCTTCGCTGGGGGCAGAGAGTGGAGGCGGACACATAATTTTCCAAACGAGTTGCGGTTTTGAATTTTCAATTAAGACTGAAGAGACGAGCGTCGCCAGCGGCCATTGCGGGCCATTGCTGTGTTGCATGTTGCATGCATAAATTAAGCCAACGAAATGCATTGTCACTCAACCGCCACTACGTCTATCCACGTGACCAGCGCCCTGCTACTGGTGCCACTGCTGCTGCCACTGCTCATCCGTATCCTTTCTTCTTTGCTTTTGCAGGACTACGGCACACTGCTGTGTTGGGCCACCAACGAGATTGGCGATCAGAGCGACCCCTGCGTGTACACAATAGTCCCAGCAGGTGAGTGTTGCAATCGTCCCCCTTGGCATGGATAAAAGGGAGTGCCATCCGCAGTGCATTTTGTTTTTGTTATGCCTGAGGGTGAGGATGAGGGTGAGGATGAGGGATGACTCCCTGCTGTGCTTATTTGCCAATGACTTTGGGCACTCCAGTTCAGGATTAGGCGGGAGCTGGTGGCAATATTGATTCCCGAGGCTGCGAGGCTGTGAGGCTGCAGCCTACGCAACTGGGAAGCTAAAATATTCCCGGATTTATGCAATTTGCTCTGCCTGCTGTGTGACCGAAATAATTGTGGGATTTTCTGCTCTGTTATTTCTTGTTGGTGCCATTTTTTGCGTGTGTGGTGGCACTCATAGGCGAACCGGATCCGCTGATAAATTGCACGGTGCTCAATCAGACATCGACGGGCTTCCAAATCGAGTGCATCGAGGGCTTTGACGGTGGCCTGCAGCAGGACTTTATAATGGAGGTTTATGTGAATGGAACGACACGCAATCCCAAATTTTCCAAATCAAAGTGAGTAGAGAAGAAAGGGAAGAAGAAAGGAGAAGGAAGAGCCTGCTAGAGTCATCGAGATGTGCATAGAGAGAGAGAGTGAGAGAAAGACATCGAAAATGGACACAGAGCAATCAGAATCACACGCCGTGTGACTTTTGCATTACAACAAACCCAACGATGCGTGGCATTGGGCAGTGGCACATGTCCATGTACCATTTCCTCCTTTCGAATGTGCATTTCCATGTACTGCTCTGCTCTGCTCTGTTCTGCTCCTTGGCCGCTCATGGCTCTTGGCTCTTGGCTTTTTTGTGGTTTTGTTACCCAACCTAAATATCGATTCGTTTTGCAGCCGACCGTACTTCGAGGTGAGCGGCCTGGTGCCCGGCATGGGCTACAATGTCTTCCTCATCGCCCACAACAGCAAGGGACGGAGCAATGCGACCATTTTGCAGGTCTACACGCTGAAGGATCCCGAGAAGCAGACGGGTGAGTCCTTAGGCAGGTTCCCATACCGTCTCGTCCCGTCCCGTACCGTGCCCACATTTTCCCATTTCCCATGGGGGAAATGGAACCAAAATTGAACCACAACTCGTGTGATGCGGGGCTGTCTCTCTGCGCTCGTTCTGTGTCTTCCGTTTCGTTTTATTTTGGCGAAGAGTCCCGTCCACCCGTTCGTTTGTAATTTTCTGCATGTCCTGAGTCCTGGCTGCTAGCTGCTTGCTGCTGGTTCGTTCTCTGGGTGCTGTTCTGCCTATAAATTAATTGACGCTGGTTTTGCATTTACTGCTCTTTCATTTGTCTTTTAATTTGCTTTAAATTCTCCCACTTCCGCCTTTGAAACTGTTTTTTTTTTTTTGCCTTTTCCTTTACTATTATTTTTCTTACCTTTTCTTTATGTTTTCCCCTCTTGCTTTTCCCTATTTCTGGCTTCCTTCTGTGGCATGCTCTCCAGTTAGAATCACATTTACGAAATTCTATCAGGGTCCCAGGCCCACCACAACCGCCGCAACGGCCACCACCAGCGACTGCATCTGCGATGAGGAGGAGTACCTTGGAGTGGGCAAGGGCAGGGGCATGGTCCACGATGCAGGCACTGACCCGGATCAGGCAGAAGGTAGCGGTGGCACCTATTTTTCAATAATATTCTATTAAATTTATATTGTATGTTTCTCTGTTATTATTATTATTATTATTTGTATTCTTTTGATTTTATTTGGTAGTTTTTTATTGATTTTATTAATTTCTTTTGTGTTTCATTTATTTTTGTTATATTTATTTGAATATATTTTTATGTTTCTGCACTTTGAATATTTTTAAAGATATTTTCTTTAATTTTTGTATATTTTTAGAGCTTTCCCACTGCATGGAATTTGTATAATTTTCACTTGCACACACACACACAGACACATAAATCCGGGGCACAAGCGATTTTATTCTTTCCCTTTCCTTTCCATTTCGCTTCGTTCCACTAGGAGCTCTTTTTCCCTTTTGTTTTTGTTTTTCCTTTTAAAAATGCTTCACATTCCAACACTGGAAGTGCAAAGGACGGCCACAGGGACACAAATTAGCAACCTTAACACTGCTGGGCGGGGACTCACATAGGAGTAGATGCAGGGGGGCAGGCAGGGCACACATGCAGCTCATTAAAGCGGCACTAAATTCGAGGCACGTGCGGCAGGAACTGGCAACAACAAATACATATCTGTATGCGGCAGTAGCCAAAGGAAGCAGAGGAGGGCCACGGACCAAGCATGGCATGTAGTTAGCAGCTCATAAAACAAGGCCAGGGACGGGCAGGGCAGAGACTCAGCAAGACAAGAAAGCAAACACCAACCAACATCAGTGTCCAAAGCCGTAGATACGCTCTCTATATTGGAAGATTATATAGATCTATGGGGTAATTCTGAGCATGGAAATATATAGATCCCCAGAATAAATACAGCTAGAAACCCCCGTCTCTGAGGGGAAAACAAAACACTGTAAAGATTTAAATTTTATGCAAAGAATATCCCCCCGCTCATCCGCCCATCTCTGGATGGTTCTCTCTTTCCCCGTTTTTCGTTTTTCGTCTCATTCCCCCACAGACCTGTCGCTGGCCTATGCACCCGTCATCGAGGACATCCGGCCCTTCCTGGGCATCCTGGCTGGCATTGTGGGCAGCGTGTTCCTGGTGGCCCTCATCATTGTGATTGTGGTGCGAGTGCGCGGCTCCTCGGGACGCGATCGTAATAATTACTCGCATCCGGGCAGCGGAGGCAACGTCGGAGGAGGTGGAGGAGGAGCAGGCGGTGGCACCGGCGTCCCTGGCAGTGGCGGCGGACCTGGTGGCACCAGCGCCAATGGCAACGGCAGCATGGGCCTCCTCGCGAGCAACAACAATGGGAGCCTGGGCATTGGGGCAACACTGGCGCACAATGGCGGGCAATCAGTGCAGGATATGCACCGCATCGGCAGGGACACCTGCCACGTGACGAGCAGCCTGGACAGCATTGACAAGAATCCGGACATCATACCACAAGGTGGGTTGGGTGAGTTCCACAGGTGCCGAGTGCCCCTCTCTCTCTCTCCTCATTCATTCATCCATCCATCCATTGTCCATTGTGTGCAGCCCTCTCTCTAGCCACCACCTCTCTCTCCCTTTCACTTGCAACAGATGGGCACGACGTGGACGATGAGTGGACAACGAAGGGTCACAATCGCGCCTATGCCACGGCGGCCCTTGCCGAACAGAATGCCGTCATAACCTCCAGCACCTATGATCACCTGATGCCCACGTATGCGGTGGTCGACAAGAAGACGGGTGGCCCGCTGCCCGGCCCCGGCCACGGCCCCTATATACAGTATAATACGCTTATTCCCGTTAGCAAAATGGGCGCTTACGCCAATCAACAGCAGCAGCAGCAGCAACAGCAGCATCCACATCCGCACCAGCATCCGCATCAGCATCAGCACCAGCTCCAGGGTGGGCAGCAGCAACAGAAGGTGAGCCACCAGCCCACCCCCCTCCTAAGCCGCTCTTAGTCGGCGGACAAACATTTAACCTTTTAACCCGTACCACACATGTGGCAGAGAGACTCATCTTAATTTATGACCCAACGGACAGCACAGGTGGAACCAGCCCATGCCTCTCCTGCAGGGGCTGGCTTTGGGGTTAAGTGGTTTTTATAGCCAGTTTATTGTTTAAGCCACAATTGATGGGCAGCCACAGGGTTTGCTGATTGAAGTTGCACCCAAACAAAAATAACACCGAAGGAACTTCTAATGGGTATAGCGAAAATGTATGTGTGCCTGCGTCTGTATGTATTTATTCTATATATATGTATATGTATATATTGCGCTCGCTGGAATCTGCTGTCATTTCAATGGCAGAACGCACAGAAGAAGAAACATCTTCAACGAACCTTGAAGAAATGCTCCCTGAAGGTCGCCCCCTGGCAAAGACAACAAAACAACAAAATTCAGAGAAACAGAGAAAGAGCGAAAGAGCGAGGGAGAGGGATAGGGAGCGAGAGAAACAAACTATAATTTGAAAATCATTTAAGTAGAAATTTCTATGCTGTGTGTAATGCCACGCCCACACTTACGCCCAGTGAGAAAGCTACCAAGGAGGAGGAGCAGCAGCAGCAGCAGCAGCAGCAGCCAGCCAGCCACAGCTGCAGCAATATAAATTTTCCATTTGCGAATTTAATAAAAATAAGTTGCAGGCGGACAGCAGTGGAGCAGCCATGGAGCAGCAGTGGAGCAGGACTCCAAAGCAGAAATGGGAACCGGCAGAACCAGAGAAACGCTAAGGAGCCAAAGGATGCGCCCATCCTGTTGTGCCTTGTGTGTGTGTGGCTCTAAGTCTGGAGCTGCTACTGCTGCTGCTGCCTCAAAATGCAATAAGCAGCCAAGTGTTGAGGTTGGACAGGGAAGGGCAAGGAAGGAGCTGAGAATGAGGCAAGGGCCAGCAAGGAGTAAGGGGATGGAGACAGGAGGAACAGTGTTGGTTAGCTGTTGAGGGCAGACACATTACAAACAGGCGCTGCATGTGGGGCGTTGTCTGGGCCGGGAACCGCCCTCAGAGCAACGGAAAAGCACTGGGAAAACCACTGCACAAAAAACTGTAGTAAATATCTCTTAAAGCCAATGCCGCTGACAGTCGCATCAACGGGATAGGATAGGCTAGGATAGAGTAGGATAGGGAAGGATAGAGTAGGATAGGCGGATACCTTACCACACCTGACAATTATCCAAACTGATTGACGTTCCACGAGTAGCAGCAAAACGAGTGTCTGTCTATTTCAATATGATTTTACTCTCGTTCGTTTTTCCAGACTGAACTCAGCTACAGCGATTTGACAGCCCCCATGGTGGGCAGCGCCGTGGGCGTTCAGCGTTTGGCGCCGTACTGCAGCGCCACATTGGGCAGGCCGGGCCGCGGTCAGGCGGAGCTGAAGCGGGCCGAACCGAATATCTACTCGCAGGTAAATGTCATGATGGACGATGAGATTCTGGCCGACCTCCAGGCAGCCACAGCGGCCGGTGGCAGCTATGTGGCCGGCGCTGTGGTGGACAATGTGGGCGGCCGTGGTGGCGCCTCCTCATCCCTCTACCTACAGGGTTATGCCACACGTGTGTAAGGGTATTAATTTTGTTTTTGTTTTTTTGTGTGTTTTTTTTTTATTTATTTTTGTGTGTTATTGTTTCGTTTAATAAACTTCAAGAGCCCCTGGGATTCAAGTGTGTGTGTTTCAGTTTCAGTTTAAGTTTCAGTTCGGTTGCAGCTGCAAGTGTGCAGGTGCAGGTGCAGGTGCAAGGGCTTTTAATTACTTTTCGCACAAAAGAATCATAAGATGAGAGTGAAAAGGGCCCTTCCGAAACCAATTACATGCAAGCCGAGACACACACACAGACACAGACAGATCGAGACAGAGCCAGAGACACTCGTGGCAAATCAATACAACGATACGGCTGACAATAAAAAGGAAGAGAATGAAGAGAATGCCATGCCAACAGCAGCAACAGCAGCAGCAATGGCAGAAATATCTGAAAATTACGCATACGCACGGGCGTATGTCCGTACGTTTTGATATGTCAGAACTTGAGCACTTGAGCACTGAAGAGAGTGCAGAATTCAGAATGCAGCGAATGGATTCTGTTAAAATGCAAAAGCAAAAGCTGTAAATCTGACAGATCTGTCGGATGATGAATGGGCGGCCAGAAGCCACTACTGTTAGAGCCTTAAGGTAGTTGTAGTTGTAGTTGTAGTAGTTCTGTGTGTGTGTGTGTGCCTGACACACACTTTTACTGCTCGGCAAGTGCTGTTTCCATTGTCCGGCTAACATCATATTCTTTGTCCTGTTTTGCTGCTTTGCTGCTTGCCCCACACACCCCACAATTATCGTAATGACTCGAGTTATGGGGACAAGGTTCAATCGGCAGCAGCAGCAGCAGCAGCAGCCGCACATGCTGTTAAGTGGCAAAATTCAGAGAGAGCTCTGCAACTGTGGAACTGTTCGGGGCCAAAGCATTTCCACCTAATGGACATTGTTTGGCTTTATTGTCATTTATTGGAAAGTTGTACACGACATGGGCCAACAGCAGCTACCAACACTCACACTCACACCCATGCCCCCCCCCTCAACAATCCTTTCAGCTGCTGGCCGTTTGTTGATTTCAGTTTTAAGTTTCGGCTCTTTATTTTTAATGGCAATTAGTTTAAATTCGATTAGGTAGTTCCCGTAGTTTTGAGCACAGATCAATTTGTTGTTTAAAGTGTGTGTAACCTGACAACCAGTGAAAATTAACTTGCGGTTTAATGTTTGTCGGGAAATTAGCTAAAGTTTGTGGCAAAATGTGAAATATTCTGTAGCATTTAATGGGATTTTCTTCAAAGTGCATTTAACAGAAATTTGTGTGGGTAAGAAACGAGAATTGCTTTGTATGAGGCTGCTCCTTCCATTTAATGATCAAATCCAGACCCAAAACATAACTTAATCAGCCCAAATCCAGTAGAACACAGTTCAAATATTGCCAGATTTATAGTGCCTTCCCCGTCGCACGTAAACGTGTCGACAATTAATGGCCTCAGTCGATTCTGTCTTAAGTGTTTGCCAATTTGGTCAACATCTTGGTCTGCTTGTAGTAGTTCGTAGCGTAGTTTATAAATTTAATTTCATTGAAAGCTCTCGTCAAAATCGTTGTGGGCGGTACACAAATCTTGAGTTTGGGGGCAGATACTACCACGAACCAGTGGGCCAGTGATTGTGGCATGGCGGGCACAGCGTAGAGGGGCGACAGCAGTGTTGATGCGCTGGCTACAATATTGTTTATGCCACCTCCTAGCATGAGGACGCCGCTTCTCATTTCACCACGTGACTAACCCTACAGCCATGTGTACAATATGAATCATCACATGACTAAAACTTCATTATCACTCTCTCTCTCTCTCTCTCTCTCACACACACACACACACACTCACAAACACACACACACATAGATCGATCTGGCACACCATCCCATGCCCATGTACTCCACCAGCCCGATGTTCGCCACGAACAGCACCATCACCGGAGTCACCATGTCACATCCATCACAATTGGCCACCTTCTCGCCGACGCCACCGCCGCCCATCTTCACCCACAGCGTGATGACCGCCACCGGTGAGGGTGGACTCCTACAGCCGGTGACCTGCATGGGTCTTGTGGCAGCCACATCTTCGGCAGCAGCAGCAGCATCGGGACAACAACAACAACAACAGCAGCAGCAGCATCACCAGCAGCAGCAGCAGCACCATCACCAGACAACGGCCAATGGCGGAAACGGAAGCATTGTCGGCGTCAATGTGGGCATGAGCCTTTATGGCAGCGATGTGGTAAGTGGCAGTTTGATGTACATACTCTCCCTCCTCTACTCTCGGAAGCTTCTGTCCAGGACTCGACTCGACTCACCCCGGGGGGTTGTGCTGCTGCTCCCCGACTGCTGGCTGCCCCTTGATGATAGCGGCACTCCCTGTTAATGTCCAAAACGTTGAAAGCATCAATATGCAAAGTGGATTTTCGGTGGCAAGGATTTGAAGCCAGCAAGCAGGAAAGCAGGAAAACATTTATCTTTGGCCCGATTTTGTTTTCGCTTTTTCGCCTTATAAATGGGGCAGCCGCTGGGGCAGAAAATGGCTTTTTGCGGTTCGCCTGATGATAAAAACCTGTCGAATAGGAAGGGGGGGGTGGGTACAGGGGTGGTATAGTAAAGGGTATTCGTAGTCCCTCTTAGATTACTTTCATTTGAACCCCTCCCTCACCACAACAACCGACAATACCCAAAAAGTTCCATACAACTGCACTTTGTCTACCGTTATAGTATCTGCCATTTCAATCGATTGGCCATTGAAAATCTACTGCCACTCGAGAGAGAGAGAGAGCATCGGCAGGCTGCGACGGCGGCCCATCGATCAACAGATGACTCAAATTCCAGGACTCATCCGCTCATCCCTGACAATGCAATTTTCTGGCAATCCATAACCCTTGATCCCCTTTTGCACAGACAACTTGAAACTCTGACCGACAAAAAAAAGCGACGAAAAATTCATTCATTTGGGGTTCAGTTCAGAGTGCGGTAAATGACCTCGGAATGTGCCACACAAATGACAGCTGCAGGACAAAAAAAACAAAAAAAAAAAAGAAAAATAACAATAACAAAAAAAAAAACTCGTTGGCTCTCTCTGCTTCTCAGGCTCTCGCTCTCTCTCGCTCTCTCTCTGTCTCTTCACGCGTTTTGCCTCTCTCATTCCCATTGTCGCTGTCGCTGTCAGTCGCGCTTTATAAATATCCCATTATGTGTACTCCAGGCCTAGCGCAATGCGTTTCCAACTGCTCCTTGTTCTCATCCTGGTTGGCATTGCATTACCCTCGGTCGCAATGAGCTGTAGACTCGACACTGAGATACCTGGTACACTGCGTATGGCAACCCAGTCACAGCGGCAGAGAAGCGTTGCGCAAACACTTTCTTCTCCTGCCTGGAATACCCTCTCTCTGCACAGGGCACTATAAAACTGTACGCGTTTTTTGTTTTGTTTTGTTTTCAACAAAAATTCCATGCCAAAAGGACACTGCGGTGTGGCAACTTTTGACTCTAATGATTGCAATTATTATGACCCGAATAACAGGGCCAAAAGCACAACCAAAATGAACAGCAGAGGCAGCGGCAAAGGCAAAGCAAAACAAAAACCCCAAACGTATCCAAACGAGTCTCCAATGTTTTATTTCACTTTTTTTCCACTTTTTGTCCCCACGGGTTTTCTCCTTGGCCCCCGCTGCCCATTTCTTGAGCTTTTCGGCTGCCATCCCAAGGGGCAGGACATGCTGTTGACGCTGTTGGCCCGCGGCGCTGGCTGTGTTTTAGCCATTTGCTTTTTTTTCTTTCGTTTTTTGTTTTGACTTCTTTGATTACACTCAAAAAACAACAACGAAAAATGGCATATAATTTGGATCTATCTTACGGCCTCTGGCCTGGCCTGGCCATTTCTCTCAGTGTATGCTCGAATAATGTGCGCCTCGTTAATTTCTGAAGGAGACGCGCTCCTAAGTGTTTCATTTGTGATGTTTATGCCAGCCCCCCAGCCCCTAGACACTTGTGTGTCATCTTTCTGTCTCTTGCTGTCTGTCTGTGGCTTTGTCCTGCAAGGAATGCTGTGATATAATCGTTTAAGCATCCACTTTCATGTCTTTCAGGGCAAGCCGCAGCTGCTGAAGACCGTGCCCGAGGAGATGCACCATCAGCTGAACGGGGAGGATGTCCTGATCGCCCAGGATCGTAATCATGGCACTGGGACACGCTTCTGACGCTAAGCATTGCCAAGTGGAGGCAGTGGCAGTGGAGCAGCTGATCAAAGAGGCTGCCAGTAAAGATCTGCACAGGATAACCGACAGGATCTTCGGAAGAATCAGCCAATCAAAAGTAAAAGTAAAGCCCGCAGGAAAAGTCGGGCAATGGGGGAATAATTGGTAAACAAATTGACTATAAGTTGTATGTGATGGAGGAAGGATTCTAAGGATGGTTTTTAAAAGAGTCCTGGGCACTGGATGGCATGCCCAACGGAAGGACGGAACCTAGAACCTAGTTAGGGCACTTTTTAAGCGGCACAGTAGAAGGATTGTGGGGCAAGGCAAAAGGAGGAGAGCTGAAACCTGTAAAAATATAACAATAAATAAATTTTTGCATAAAACGGAAAACGGAAGCCAGAACGGGGTGTGGCAACGCCCCCTACTTAGTCGTTTAAGCTGTCGTGTAAATTATGGAATACAATTAACATTAATAGCTCCTAATTATGGCTAAAAAACAAAATTAATAAACATTTTGCAGCAGACACTGCACTGCATTTTGCTGCACTGCAGCAGAATAAAACTGAATTGTTAATATATTTTTAAAGAAAAGCAAAAGAAAAGACAGAGAGAAGAGCAGCTTAAAGCGGCAGGAAAATGTGTGTGTTGGGGGAAAATCCTTTAGCCAAGTAAATCAATTCGTGAATGTTGTTAGCTTTTTGGTTCGTACTCCCAGAGATCGCCCCCAGATACATCCACATTAACCCACATTAAACTCTTCAGCTTGTAACTAAGGCCTAAGATAACTTAACATAAAAGACAGATAAATCAAATCAAATCCAATCCAGGTAGATCTAAGACCCTACGCCCCCCCATCTAGATTAGGTCAAATTGTAATTAAACGAATCGTCAAAAAGAATTTAAAGGAAATCTAGTGTTAAGGCAGCCTCCCAAGGGAGCAGCAAATTCCAGTTTGCATTTTATACGTAAAGAAAATGGACAAAAAAGCAGAAAAAAAGATCGAACTCTAGCTTAAGCCACTAATACTAGTACTAAATACCAAAATGGAGGAAATAAAAATAGCATACATTTAAAATTAAACAATAAAATGGATAACAGAAAAATAAAATAATTCAAATGCCAAGCAGCTGCATGTAAAATATTTAAAACTGAGAAATGTAATAAGTTTTAGGCTAAAGTTAATAACAATTAAAACCTAATAAAATGTATGAAATGAAATTAAACTTTAGAGTTGGGTTTTGGGGGGTAATTATTCGATTATTTCAGGAACAGCAAACCCTAGGCATATCGATGGGAACAGTGGCCATGGCTGCAGTTACCGACAGTCAAGTATTTTGCTATGAAAAGTGTTTTTTGTTTCCACTTAAACCAGCTCGGAGAAGCAGGATCTCCACTGGTTCTTCTGCAAAGTTCAATGACCTCAAAAACAGAACGAGGGGCCGCTACATTTCACCTTTTTGGGCCAGCATGCGCGCCAACATGCCTTCTGGCAGCAGGATGGGGAACAAACATTTGCTGGGACACACCAAACAATCAAATGTTGCACACTGATGTTCACAAACATGACTCCGGGGCAGGGAAGCTGTAGCTGGCACAAGGAGGAAGGGAGCAACTGTAACAGGAGCCAGAAATGGAGCATAAGGGGGCAGGGCGCAGAGGGCTAGGGGTGGAGACTGGCAGTTGTTGCCGTGTAGCGCAGCAATCGGGTAAATATTGACAGGCCGCGTAAGCAAACACACGGAAACGGAAGTCAAGCTGAGCGACATGACCGCAAAGGAACAACAAAAGTACAAGCCGCATCGAGAACATTCGGGACAGCGAGAACATCCCGGACAGCGAGCGATATCCACTAACCAGGGCACCGAACATGGCACCGCCGATACATCGTTCAAAAACTCTGTCACAGAGGCAGAGAGATACAGAGAGTAAGAGAGAGAGAGAGAGAGAGAGAGATGCGGTATGGCATGTAAATTTTGTATGCGAAAGCACTTAACACCATTTTCGCTCAAGCAATGCAAACAGGAAGAGCAGCACAAATGAGGTGCCTACAGGTGCGGTGGGGGGTACCCACCTTGGAGTCACAGATCATAGTCCTGCGAGTAGTATCAGCATTTATGAAAGGCCTCCCCGCTTACCCTTCCCCACTCACAACCAAAGGAAATTATGCAAATTTTGACCGCTCGCCGCGTCGATGACTTGTACATTTTGGGGTCAGCTTCAAGGGAGGAAGGGGGGGTTCCTGTTTAGATTTCCATTCCAGATATGCTACCACATGTATACCTATGTTTACCTATGTGTGTGTGTGTGTGTGTGTGTGCCACAAATATTTGCCACACGATGAGGCTCTCCCGCCCCGAAGGCGCTGGCGAGTGTCAGGCCACAAAACCAGACTCACACCACACACAAGGAGTGGGCGTCGTGCGGCAGGCATAGAGTGGCAAAGTGGCAAATTTACCCACCAAATTGAAATCGATTAATCAAAATACACCACATAAATTATAAATTAAAAGCCTGTTTATGCTCCTGGAGAGACAGAGACAGTCCTGTCCTGTTCCAGTCGCCAGCCGCCAGTCTCCAGTCTCCAGTCCGCATCTGTGTGCTGTGTGCCCCATCAATCAGGCGGCACCGTACAGTACAGCAATTAAGCGGCATAAAAGTCACACCGGAAATGGAAATGAAAATGAAATTGTAAATGCCAGCAGCCGGCGCCATTGTGTGTGGGTTGCTGATGACATAAAAATGCCATTCAATTGCAATTCTAAATCGTAAATAAATATTCAATATTCAATTGAAATGTATAAAAAATAGTAAGGGGGGATCCCGCCGAATGAATGGCGGGGACCACATTCAACAGAAAATATATGGTAGGCTTTATGGTAGTATCAATACCCCCATCAATCGCAAGAGACAAGTACACACAATGAACAATATTTCAGTTTTAAAAATATCAGAAAATGTTCACCTGGCTATGCTCGATTTTTCCACAGTTTCTACACATTCCATTTACACGGCTAATACTTCCACAGTTTCTATTCAACAGCAAATAAAATTGGAGTTTCGAATCGAAGCACAATCAATATCCTGCTGCCTCAATTGTAGTTTATTTTCCCCAAAAAAATGTGCTCTCTCCCCGGGCAGCAATAAATGATGGATCGATGATGAAAAGTTCATGTATTTATGCAACATTTGGTTTTAATTGATTGTCGGGAATGACAAACGAGTTTCAACAACCCCCCAACCACCCCACCAAACAACGACAATTCGCTTGATTTATGCCCGCGGGAAGCTAATAAAACTTTGTTGGCTGCCACTGTGCCACCACTGTGCCAGGGAATACAACAAAAATGGCATGCAATTAATGGAAATTCTTTTGCTTGTGCCGTTTGCTCTCTTAAGCCGCTATTAATGCACAGCCACTCGTCTGTCTGTCTGTCTGTCTGTCAGCAGCGTGCGGCTGCATTGCAGTTTGTCTGATTTATAAGCCAACACTTACAGCAGTAAAGAGCGGGGGGAGCGGGGGGAACAGCGAGAGCCGTCTGAACCGCTGAAACATTTTCTTACCACTGATTTATTTACATTTAAGCAATTTCGTCGCCATCGTTGTGAAGTTTTCGCAGACGGAAACGTGCAGCATTGCAACCGGAAATTGGCAACAAAAAGGAGACAGAGAGAGAGAGCGAGAGAGAGATGGAGCCCTGGAACCCTGGCACGGCCTCCATTGCTCTCTCATTCGCTGAAGGCAGGGGATGAATGGGTTTTTGGGGTTCCAGAGTCCAGAGTCCAGAGAAGATTAATGTCGGCGCTTTTATTGTTTGGTCGGTCAGCCGTTCCCTCTTAGCCCCCCACTGACCCTTTGAGGGAACAGTTTCTGAAATTTATATCGTAAATAAAAGTGACAATGAAAATAAAGAAAATTTTTACTGTAAAGAGGTTGTTGCGGACAGATGTAAATAAAAAAAAAAAATCTATATGAAAATCCATATGAAAAGTAAACATAACTTTTGAGCAAGTGAATTGGAAAAGGGGAGCGTGGAGACAGGAGTTTAACCTGAAAGAACCTTCATTTAGGGGGGGGGGCTTGGAAGATGTTTCTGAATGAAAAGAAACTGAAGTCCAAGCGAAAAATTAGCTCCTTTTTATATATTTTATTTATTTTACATATTATAATATGTATATTATATATTTTATTTATTTTATATATTTTATTTATATTATATATTTTATATATTTTGTACATTCCCCTTAAAGTATTCGAAAAGTATTTCAATATCAAACATTAAATGTTTATTCAATCAATTATATTTATCTGTATTTTTGTGACGAACTTTTATGTACCTCGTGGATAGCGTACAAATTTCCGCAAATTTCCGCAAATTTCGCCACAAAATAAAACACTGAATACGCATTCGCATTTCGCATTCAACTCTGGCCACACCGCACTGTAATGTGAAACAAATCTACGCAAATTTCTGGGCAAACAACACGGTGACACATGGCTGAATGGGCGGCGAGTGGAAGGCGGGGGGAGCAGGATGTGGGGACACATTTGAAAAGGTTAAATAAATTGCTGGATCCAAACATATGCCTAAAGGCCATAAATATTTGGGATGCCAAAGCAAACAGAGAGAGAAAAAGGGTTAAACGGAGATAAAGAGAGAGAGAGAGAGAGAGAGAGAGAGAGGGGGTAACAAATGCGTGTATCCATTTACATAGAAAGTACCTGGCGGCGCATATTTCCTGCCACCCTGCCACACAGCCACACGCACCGTTTCCGCATCTGGTTAATATGGCGGCGTCAAAACAACATTATGTAAAGTCGAGGCGTGGTCGTGGGGGCGTTGCTAACCGACCGACAACCGACAACCGGAAGTATATATAAAATTCTCCACAAATACACCCAAAAATACTAACACAGAGAGAAAGAGAGAGAGGCAGAGTGGATACTCAGTGAAGCACAGTGCGTATACGCAATAAACATAAAAATTTTGAAAAGCATCGCTGCCAGTGATTTCCCTTTTGGGGGGCCTGGCCTGGCCTGGCCTGGGGGCCATACACCTACATGAATACCTTGCTTTATGCCCCCAGAGGTTGCAAATTATTTTTTTAGTACTTTATTCAATGCGCATTAGGCGCACAGCTCACAGCACTCCTGCTGCTCCTGCTGCTGCTCCTTTTCTCTCTTTCAGTTGTAAATTCAGTAAAAAAAAAGGTGCGTGAACGCTTGAGCCCTCAACACACTTTGCGGCAAGCGAACTACCAACTAATGTGGCCACTTCTCTTACGCCAGAGATACTTAATTTGCATATGCTTTACATTTGTTTATGGCCTAGTGGCGTGTTCCCAGCCATTCAGGTGTGTTGTGTGTTTAACGATTATGGATAGTTTATGGCTTAGCTCATTCATTCATCAGCCCAAACAGTTGCACGATGAAGTGTTAAGGCTATGAATGGGGGAGCAGCTGTTTTTGCATGGAATACTTAAACATTTCCAACGAATTTCAACCATTTCCTCGCAGCTCGAGAGTTTACTTCTCTTCCTTATTTAAAACCAATTAGCTCTATTTGTTTCTATCATTTATTTGCACATATATTCCACGCTTATTTGCCTACCTTTCTGGCTTCTATTTCTGTCAAATATATGTATGAGTACTGTGCAAACTAATTATAATTTTGAATGAACGAATGAAATGTCCGCGGAAATTGAGCCACTTACTCGTTTCGCGAGGGTCCCAACCGCAGCAGCAGCTCTGGCTGACTGGCATTGTCCCTGTCAATTGACCAGAATCAAGTGGCTTAATAATGCATTTTCTGTATTCATTATGCTGATTGAATGTTTTGTTCTCCGTCCGTAGTCCTTACAACCCCCTGGCCGCCCACACCGTTTTCCACCTTTATCACCCGACCAATTAAATATTGTAAATATCATGGAGAATTGCCAGCTATACGAGTATCATGTATTTTGTGCAAATTTTGATTGCAAACTAATAAACATAAAATGTATGGATTTTTATTGAATTTCTGCCTGGCGCGTTTCTGGCGCAGTTTGCGCACGTTCGTAATTTGGTTTATTAAATGGACTTAATAGATAATTAATAAATGGCGCATCATTTAAATGAAATGGCCGTGGGGTGTAGAGGGGAGGGGAGGGGCGACAGTATGTAAATGACAGAATC